CTCTCTCTCTCTCTCTCTCTCTCTCTCTCTCTCTCTCTCTCTCACCGGGAATCAAACTCAGGCCAGGCAGGCACTGTGCCACTGAGCTACATCCCTGGCCCAGAAGCTTTTTAATTTGTTGATTCTTGATATTATTTCTTGTTCTGGGGTTCTGTTCAGAAAGTCCTTGCCTACACCTGTCTTCAAGAGTTTTACCTATTTTGTCTTCTAGCAGGTTAAGTGTTTCTGTTTTAATATTTAGATCTTCGATCCATTTTTATTTTAGTTTATTTCAGTGGTATCTTGGTTCAATTCACACCGTGATTCTGGTTGAAAACTGATCTGGACAAGAACTGAATCAAATTTCCCTATAAGGTCAACATTGAACCTAACCACTGAATTTGATTTGGTTCTTGTCCAACTTGGTTTGCCACCAGAGTTGTGGAAAGAATCAAATTCACAAACTGAGGCACCACTGTACCTGGTGAGAGATATGGGTCTAGGTTCAATCTTCTGTGGATATCCAGTTTTCCCACCACTATTTGCTAATTCAAGAGGCTATCTTTCCACCAGTGTAAGGTTTTGCCTCCTTCTCAATGATCAGGTAGTTGAATATGCCTGAAATTATTTTTGCACCATCTATCTTGTTTCCTTGATCTACACACCTGAGTCTTTCCCTCCAGTACAACGCTATTTTATCATTGTCACTTTGTAGCATAACTTGAAGTCCAGGAGTGTGATGCCTCCTGCCTTGCTCTTGTTGCCCAGGATTACTTTTACTATTCTAGGTCTGTGTTAGTTACTTTTCTCATTGCTGGGACAAAATACCCAGAGTCTATAAGTTAAAGGAGAAAAGGTTTGTTTTAGCTCACAGTTTGTGGAGCTTTCAGTCCATAGTTGGCTGGTTCCAAGGCAGGGCAGCATGGCAGAAGGGCACGGGAGAGGAGAAACAGTCCATGGCAGGGCAGACAGGAGGCTGAAAGCAGTGAGCCTCAATTTTCCCTTTTATTCCATCCAGGCTACAAGCCCATTGGTTGGTAACACCCATACCCAGGGTAGACCTTCCCATTATCCACACCCGGAATTATGCTAAACCAATCAGTGGACTAATTTAGTTATCACACTAATTTAATCCATAGTCACACACCCTAGATCCTGCCACCTCTGAAAACCCCCACCTATAACTGCATGAGGCTTTTGGGGGACATCTAGATATAAGTCATAACAAGGTATCTTCTGGTTCCAAGTGAATTTTTATTGTTTTCTCTAGTTCTGTGAGGAATGCTATTGGTATTCTGATTGGGATTACATTAAATCTATATGTCAGTTTTGGAAGTGTGGCCAATTTGACTATATTGATTCTGGCTATCCAGGAACAAAACATTCATTTCCTAATGTTTTCTTCAACCTCTTTTTTTCTTTTTCCTTTACTGATGCATTTTAGATATACATGATGACCACATTCTTCATAGGGAATTTGTGCCTGTACATAATATATCTTGTTTCTTCTTTTTTTTTCCCATTCCCCTGGCCTCCCTTCAATCCCCTTGCCCTCTTTTATCTATGAAAGCCTTCTTTCTATTTTTTCCCTTCCATTTTTTTTTTT